TAACAAAAATCGCTGTTTATGAAAAATAATATACAGGATGGTTGAACATTGCTATAAGTATAAAATTACATATTCAGGTATTAGTAAATTTTAACTTTTTTTTTCGATTTTTGTCCATGGGACGAAGCACTGTGCGATGGCACGTTAGACATTAATGGAGAACCGGTCAAAGGATTCTTTTAAAAATTTGGATTTTTTTACAGGCACCTGCTAGGAAAAACAAAAATTGATTTTCAAAAAAATTCATTTTTTTCCAAATCACTCAGCAATCCTTGAAATTATTGAAACTTTTTTGATAGCATCTTGGTGAACATCTCAAGGCGCAACTTTGCACAAATAACATGGTCATATCTATTACGGTTTCCGAGATACCAATGCTCGTACCCCGAATTTGTAGCACCCTGTATACCAGTCAAGCAATCAATATAACGAATTCGTTAAAAAATAAATAAATAACATATTTTTTATAAAATTTTGTGTCTTGTTTTCTCCACAAATCTTTACCGTTCATATGTATTTTGTTATCAAATTTATTCTATAATACAAATTAAAAAAATAACAGTTGTTACTTAGAAATTTTATGGATTACCCTCTATAGTAATAAATTTCTACTGCTTATTACACATTACTTCCGTAAACTTATATACCCAGCTCATATATTGGATATTTTCTATAAGTATGCAAAATCGAGTAAATTGGAAACAATAGCTTCATGTTTTATTCATGTTTAGAACTTTTATACCTTACATGAAGATAAGCGTGAAGAAGGAATTTTCTAGACAATTTTAGCAATATTTTATATATATTAAAATAAAAAGTAAAGGGTTCCTGCAGTTATTGATATAGTATATAGTATATGTATACACTGCTGGCAAAGGAATATTAGCAATAGGAGGTTTTCAATGCGATAAAAAAAGATGGTAAGGCTGCAAAATACACTGCAGTGCAACAGAGACTGATAAAGTGTCTTTTCCCTACCATTGTATAGGGAAAGTGATCATAGAAGTGATACGACGATAGAGCCCCTGCGAGAGGGGGCGCCGGGCGGGTCTTTAAGTCGCTTGTGTGGGGGCTACCGCCCACTAATAGAACAGAATCGAAAAAATAGAAACAGGACGGACAGTGTTGCCATTCAATTAAATCGAAATTATGTTGGCTTGTCAAAATCCTAAATCTTCTAATCCCATTATCTTGCCTACTTAATGAAATATTAAATAAAGTACGAAACAATTTTAAGAATGTTTTCTCTAGGCACATAACTTCTTTCTAAAACGAAAAGTAACATGCAAAACTTTGAAATCATTTCTAAAATAGCAAGTGCAATTCTATGAAATGGCAATACTGTACGATCTTCCTAGCAGTCGCCCCGACACAGTCGGTCGGCGGCGGCGCTTGACAAAGCCGCGGCTGTGACAAAGGAATTAGGCCGAAAAAAACTTTATAAGGAGTAGCCGAACAGGGTTGCCGGGTTGGTTAGATTATAATTCCATACGAGAACAAAATTCTCGGTAGATCTTCAACAAAAATTAAAAGTACAGAAACGAAATAAAATATAATATTTAAGTCCAAAATTAGCATTCCTATGTGTCGTAATAATAGATCACTCAAATAAAATACAAATATAATAAATATAACAAGAATTAGAAATAGCTAGGTATATTATTTGATATTAAAAAAAATATTGAATTAAATAATATTAATATATTAATAAAAACATATAAAACTATAACAAGTAGGGATAGCAGTCACAAATTAGTGTAGCAGTCACTTTTTACCTTTGTACAAATTTTGATCAGTGATATCTAAAATTAATTTCATTTCAATGGGAAAGCTGTAGCAACTCTTTTTTCTTATTAATATATTTTTTTGACGGGAAAATCACTAAAATATTTGTCCGAATTTAGGTTGTTTCTTAACTTAAATTTTGTTTTTTGTTTACATTTTTTGGGGGAAATTATGGGTTCAACTTTAGTAGATGAATGAAATAAAATCTTTTCAAAAGATATCAACTTCTTCGGGCATGGCGCCAATACCGCGCCTAATAAGGAGTAATAAGGATTTTTAGGAATATCTCTGTAACTCTGCAACTAGACAGAACGATGACCTGTATGTGTGTTATTACTAAATAAAATTTAATGAAACAATAATAAAGTCAGATTATACAGATTCCAACGCGGCAGTCGCTTAATTTTTAGTCAAATAAGTCAGCTTTTTAAAAGTGCTTCTATTGTAAAAACTAAAGACGCAGTTGAATAAATCGTTGGATTTTTCTTTAAATCGGTAGATCGGTAGCTTACAGACGAAACCGGTAGACCTGGCAACTCTGTGATGAACTGACGGGAGTCGGAATAGCGAGGCGCGGAGGCGCGGGAAGGGAAATAAAATAATGGCGATAAATAAAGGGCAGGGAGATATGTATCATGAGTGGATGGGAGGTGGCGGAATTTCCAAAATTTGTTATCTTATTGGAGTTTGTCTAAGTAGATAGTCGTAGTGGAAGTGGAAACGGGGAAGTTGTTGTCCATCTCTGTTTAAGCATAGACTTTTTATAGGCGTTTCATTCCAATGCATGTAATTCCTATGCCTAGAGATCTATTGCCGGGCCTGTATAATAGTTATTATGTTAATATCGATTGGAATATATCAACTGGCGACTTAGTTTAGTGTCGGTGAGTTATTAGATAAAGATCTAATAGCGCCAGCGGACGAAGCACTTTCAGGCGGATCCATAAATATAAAATAAAAAGTGAAGGGTTCTTGCAGTATCAATATGTAATGTTTAAATAAAAATATGTCTTGCCATATAACTGCTGTTTTATAAAATTCTCAGCTTTCGAAAATAATGAAAAACTGAAAATAATAAAAAGTTATGTTTGTTATTTTCAGTTTTTCATTATTTTTGAAAACTGAAAATTTTACAAAACAGCAGTTATACGGCAAGAAATATTTTTATTTAAATATTACTTAATATTATACTATAAAACATTCATAGATTAAAATCTCTTAATATAATAATAGCTCCCCTATATAGCGTTTGACGCCTTGGGAGTAGCAAGGTACAGCTTGCTATACTAGAGCCGTTCGGTATACAAGGAAGGTAATGTGGCTAGCACTACCCTTCAACCGCCTATTATTACCTCAGGATTGTGAATCCCAAGTACTCATTTAAAGCCGAGTCCAACCTAGGTACCCAAACTATTTTTATTTTAATAAAAATAATTCGCTGATGAAATGCCGGGTGTGGGATTCGAACCCGCTACCTTGAGATTGGTAGACGAGAGCCTGTACCTCTACGCCACCAGGCACCTTCAAAAGGCAAAAATCTCTTAATTACATTATAGGAAAGATAGAACATTATGTTATATGTATAAATAATTATCTTTTGATTAATGTCGACTTCTGTAAACGTCAAATTAGCTTAAGTTTTTAAGAGTAACAAGAAAATTAGTGTATATTATTATTAACAAGCTGCTTTTCAACCTAAATTTGGGTACCGGAGTACAAGGGTTGCAAGAACAACGAAAAGGCAGATAATATGGCCAAACAAAATGACATTCGTAGGTCCAGAATTCTTCTGCGGCTCTGCAAAAACAGTTACATGAATGGTCATAAACCAGTCAAACAAATCCCTCGAATTTTGGAAATATTCACGAGGGCAGAGATAGACACAAAAGTTCATAGTAGAACATCCGCACATATAAACGTAGACCTCATAAGCAACGACAGGAAAACTTGTACAGCTGTAGTGAGTCTATTAAAAGGGCATTTCAAGCTCAATATGCTTATAAAGAAAACCTTAAAAAGATCCTACAGTGGAAAACCCTACAAAGATCTTTCCAGCTTAATGGTATCTTATATAATAAGTGGTTCATGATTTTGTTTATTTAGGATCAAACATAAACGACGAAGGCAATTGTAAAATAGAAATTAGACGCAGAATACAGTTCGCAAAAACTGCAACAACGCGTCTTACAAGAATATGGCAGAGCAGAGTGATAACAACACGTACAAAAAAGAATTTGCTGCATTCAATCGTCTTCTCAATATTTCTTTATGAAGTGGAATCCTGGATCATCAAAGCATCGGAAAGGCGCATGATAGATAGCTTTGAAATGTGGTGCTACAGACGTATGCTGAGAATATCTTTGACAGCTAGAAGAACTAATCTGTCAATAATTAATAAGCTCAACATAATCACCCGACTGTCAGCTATCTGTCTGAAACGCATCCTCGAGTACTTTGGACATGTTGCTCGAAGACCTACCGACAACATGGAGAAAATTATTATAACTGGTGATGACTAAGAAAAAAGATGTAGACGTCGCTCTCCAACAAGATGGATCGATCAAGTAAGACAAACAACGGGTCTACCTCTACACTCAGCTACCCATCGAGTTGAAGACAGATTAGCCTGGAAAGATCTTATAAAACAAAAAGTATTCTCATAGAAGTCACGACCCTCAGCTATGAGGAATGATTGGAGACAGTGAGAGAGAGAAAGAGAGAGAGATGTATATAAAGCTGACGGGATTGACGGACAAAGCCATGTGTCAATTTTGTCAATCGAAGAAGCAACAGCATATCACATTTTATGTCAGTCGCAGCGAAACAGACTAATAGCCACCTCTAAAATCTAATATAGTCTAACCTAAATCTTAACGTCATTTTTATAATTATTTCTTCATTGTGCATTTGTATAATATTATCTATGAGTGTTTTACATTAATTGTGTGAAAAATGCCAAAGAAACTTATCAGTGTAAGAGGTAAGAGGGTGTAGAACAGCCATTATGAAATGTTATGTATTGAATAAAAATGGATTTTTATAAATTGATTTGTAGAATAATTTTAATAGTTATGGTATTTAGTAAAAACAAATTATCAAAAAATAACTTTATACTAATTCCTAACATAATATACTTTATTAGATAATTTAATTATTAAATTATTATTATATTTGTACAATAGTTTAAACATTTAATAAATATGAGTAGAAATAATTTATGCAGCTTCTATTGTAACAGTGTCGTCATCCTGAGTGGTGGATCCTGGTCTACCACCTAAAATTGGTGACTGTTGTGGTGGTGCGGGTAATGGAGGCAGTGGCACTACTGGACTTCCAGCGGGGTCAGCAGGTTCAATAACTGGACCACCTAAACGAAATTAAAAGTAGAAAAGAATATTTATAATTTTCTGTAGGAAAATTATTAGTTCAGAATATTGTTAATATAAATAAAAAAAAAGTTCTCACAATCTTTAAAGATGAGAATCTTTAAAGATTGTGAGTTATTGTTCTTTTACCCTCCTTCAAAGGTTTGCTTTGATAATATGTACTCACAGTAGGTTAGAGAACGTTTAGTAAAAAAAAGTTAGACCAATTTTTTTACAAATAATTGTCAAACTACAAAATTATACAATTCTACACATAGTGTTTCTAATTTGGAAGCTATATCGCGAAAAAAAATTGTTTTATGGTTAAAAAATTGAGATATAGTATTTTGAATATTGGGATGTTTGCCATATAAAAAACATTTTTAAATAATAATCTGTGCATAATGTGAATAATCTTTCAAGTATTTTTATTCTGATATTCTTAGTGTTTAAGAAAATATAGCCCTCAGGTTAATAATGTTAAATTCACTCTAGATTTTAACCACTTTTCGGATATATTGTTTTTAACCAAAGTTTCAGTAAATAAGAAATTGCATGGCAACACCGTATAGTGCTTTAAATAAAAATAGTGTACTATATGCAGAATTTTATGCTGAATCCAAATCTTTTCAGAAAGGTGGAGGTTGCAATTTAAAAAAAAACTTACAACTTTATCATAACTTTTTTAAGACACTCTGTATACAATAAAGTGATTATAGGATGTGCACCTTTATAAACCAAGCGACATCTATAGAAAACTTTTTTTGTATATCTTAATCAACAACGAACATATTGGACTTCCTCCAAGACTAATGGGCCACTCTGTACAGATATGTAAATCTAAATATTTACAAAACTAAATTTACCTTGAGCAGGAATATTCGGTATTTGTCCGATAACTGGATTTTGCAGAATCGGGTTTTGCAACACTGGGTTCTGAGCTACTGGATACGGATACTGAACTAGTCCAGGATACTGAGCAAATATAGGTTGCTGGTGAGCGAATACAGAACCATGTTGTACGAATGGGCTAGTGTAATGGGCTAGCAGTGGTTGGGAATAGACTGTTGGTATGATTTGGTTGGTGTAAGGAATTGACGATGTCCTTAGTAAACTCGTTGAGGCTGGAAGTATATGCGCCGATGCCCAACTGAGAGTTGCAATGACACTTATAATAATAACACCCTGTAAAATAGATATATGTTTAAAAAATATAAATATAATGTTTCCTTGTTTTAGTGACTCAAAAATAATTAAAGTTGTTTATACAGGGTGTCCCAGAAATAAGTGCAAGTATTTTAAGGGGTGGAAGATCTCGATAAAAGAAACATATTTTCTCTTTATCATTTTTCAAATAAGTCCAAAATAACGGAGTTATTTTACTTTGAAAATTAAAAAAAAATGATTTTTTGCTAAAATTTTGAAAACGACTGGATCTTTTCTGGATTTTCTTTCTTGTAAATTTAATCTAATACCTATGTTGCCATATTATCAAGAAATTATGTTTTTTAATAAAAAAAATACTAAAAACTAAAAAAATTTCCAAAAAATTTTTAAAAAATGTCGAATTTTCAATTTTTTTTTTCGTGAAAAAAACCTCATAGGCGTGTTTCTGGTGTTGAACTATACTACCAGTTAAAACACTTGCAGCACTTATTTCTGGGACACCCTGTATGTGTTTGGATGTGGATCAAAATTGAGATCACGAATTGTATTTAGTGCGTAGTTAACGTTTCGACAACTATATGGTCTTCCTCAGAACTCTGCTGCTCAGCTCTGCTGCTTCCTCAGCTTTCAGAACTGCTTTTGCCTGATTTGCAATAATCTACTGAGACGTGTCTGACATGTGTAGATTGACCTTTATATTTTTAAAAATATATCATTATAAGGAAACTACAGGCGAACAACGCTCAATGGAACGGAATATGCTGGGAATAACCAAGAGAGACCGTAAAAGAATAGAGTGAACACGAACACGACAAAAGAATACAGGTAACAGATGTCATCAATATAATCAAATTCCTCAAATGACAATAAGTAGGACACCTGACAAGAAGAATAATAAATAGAAAAATAGATGTACAAAAATCACAGATACATACTATATGATATTAGGAAATTAGCAGAGATAACTTGGGCCTGCATAGCCAACAATAGACAAATAAATATGTTAGGGAGGCTACACCAGAATTGGAAATGGTTGAATACGCTTAAAATGATGATGATGATCTTTAAATAAGTTTTGAATATCTTCTTATCAAAATAAAATTATGTTAAATCTAATACAAAATAAACAGAATTTGTTAATAATTTAGAAAAGGCCATTCTATTTTTAAACTCAGCGCTTTTTTATCTAGGTATTTCATTTTTTATTATTTCTGTTTTCTTAGTTCATGCACTTAAAAAAATATGAATAGTAAATGAAAATAATGTTTTAGACTTAATTTACAACATATTTTTGTAATTTTTACAATCAAATCAACTTACCTTCATCTTGACTACCTGAACTGAACTATTTACATATGTTTATTAAAAAGAACAAAAACATTTCTTGAATTCATTAGCCAAAAATATTATTTATACCTGCCCAGAACAAGTGGCATTTACCTCCTTCCATAAATTAGACCTGATCTACACTATTGATACTATTGACGGATATAATCTGTTTGAGTTCATTTTGGTACCATTTCGACCACTCCGTATTGTTATTCTTTTCATGTATCATAGCAATAAAAAAAAAGTAGTACAAGAATTCAAGAATTAGTAGTCCCAGATAGAACTCCTGGTCTATAAGGATATTTGAATTATATTGAATTTTTTGTATTTAGCCAACAACACTGTTTTTTTGTTTATCCCTAATGCATCTGCAATGTCCCTTATGGGAACCTCATCCCTCAATCGCGTAAATATAATCGATTTTTGCTCTGAAATTAAAGGTATTTTTTAAAAATTACGTGACACTGACACAAGAATTCTGATGACACTGAGTTATCAGATTGAAAGAAAATATTTTATCATAGACCAGCAGATTAAATCATATTTTGTTGTACTACTTTTTTTCATAGCAATGGTACATTCTGTACCTAAAAATATATATTATTCTTCGACATACAAATTGTTCATATTGTGAAAGGAAAACTATTGTTGTTAGTATAAATAGAAGAGAATATATTAATCAGTTACTGTTATTTTACTGGTTTTAAAGAGGTAAAAGTTACATTAATAGTAAATAAATAAATAATACCTTCATTACTAACTAATATAAATAAATATCCTCAATTGAGGGAATAAAAGGCACGTATTTTCACAGTCTTATATTAAAAACTTTATGTTAAACGTTTTTACAAAAGGGTGCGAGTAAAAAAAAAGTAGTTTCGAGACCGTTACGTCTCATCCTCAGGCTTTAAGACATAAAGTCATTCCATTGGCCAGCACCAAAAATTGACCCAGCCATTATTATTTAAGTTATTATTCTGTAACTCCAATATGTGTATATAGGTTAGTCTATTTTTTATACATGATAATGATTATTCTCTTTACCAAATGATATCAAACCGATCTTACATGGCCAAATTAAAAGATTTAAATAATCTGGCCTCACATATTCGGTATTCTTTATACTCAGATCACGATATGTGATTTCCTGCTCTAGTTTTTATTATGTTATTATTATTGTCTTTGTCCAGCTTCATGTTAATAATAACGTATCACTTATAATCTCATTATGTAAATAAGTTATGTCGTTGTGAAAACAAACCAGTTTTGAAGTTGAAGGATTAAATAAGAAGAATTTGATTTATTTAAGTTTAATAATAATTTTATACATTATGTGTTAATTCATAATATGACAATATTAATCCACGCATAACTTTACATGAGTTTTGCTTGCTCATTAAAGTTTCTATTTGTTTATTCAAAGAAAGAAGGCAATATAAATTCATTAAGGTAAAAAAATTAATCACTAGATAATAAATTATCACTTTAAAATGAAGGGTGATCGACTTTATTAATAAAATATAAATTAATAGCATCTCTTGTAGTCCCAGTATATAAATCGGGAGACAAAGCTGAATGTTCGAACTATCGCCCAATTACATTGCTGAATCATTTCACAAAAATACTTGAAAAACTGATTAAAACGCGTTTAGTATCATATTTAGAAAAATACAAAATAATATCTTCCAAACAGTTTGGTTTTTTAAAAAACACTTGTACAAGTGATTCCATCAACAAGCTTCTAGAGCATGTTTATGATAATATTAATAACAACAAAAAGACGATTGGAGTGTTTTTAGATCTAAAAAAAGCGTTTGATTCGATACCACACAAACGTCTTATACAAAAAATGGAAAATGTGGGAGTTTTGGGGAATACAAGCACACTTTTTCAATCGTACTTAACAGAAAGAGTGCAAATCACAAAAGTTAACGGGGTGGTTAGTACTTCAAATTTTGTAAATTATGGTATTCCTCAGGGTACTGTTCTGGGCCCTGTTCTCTTTTTAATAAATTTAAATGATTTTTTGGAAATAAAGCTAAATAGTGGAAACATGATATCGTATGCGGACGATACCGTAATCCTATTTGAAGGGAGAACGTGGCAAGAAACGGTCATAATGGCAAATCAAGGACTGCACGAAGTTAAATGTTGGTTGGATGAGATTTACCTGACTCTGAATGCGAATAAAATCGTGGCAGTTCCATTTAATGTCCCGGAGAGTTTTTTTTCTAACTTGCATAATGTAAACATTGAGGGTGGCTATGTTCAATATCGGAATACTACAAAATATTTAGGTTTACATTTGGATGGCAATCTAAAATGGAATAATCATATTAACATTTTAACTTCCAATATCAGAAAGCTGTTTTATTTCTTCATTCGATTAAGATTATATATGAATTTTAAAACCTTAAAAAAGATATATTTTGCATTTGGTCAGAGTTTACTACAGTATGGCATTACAGCGTGGGGCTCTGCTTATAAAACATTACTAAAGAAAATCGAAACAGCACAAAAAATTCTTTTAAAAATAGCTCTATTTAAACCATATCACTTTTCTACTAAGGAGACCTTTGCAAGTTTTCAAGTACTGGATATAAGACAACTATACGTGAGAAGTGTAGTAATATACATGCATAAATACAAAAAATCGACAAGTAATAATAATTGTATCAATATATTTACTAGAGCCTATTCAAGACAAGATTCAGGCATACCGTTTATGAAATTTAAATTAACACAACATTGTTTACTTTATATTGGTCCAAAGCTATATAACCTTTTACCTGTTGATATAAAAAATGCCGCAATGATGCGGTTTAAATATTTAATAAAAAAATGGATAATATCAAGCCATTCCTATCGCAATATTATCTAAATACCAATATATCTATTCTGTTGGTGACTCTCTGATATCCGTGCCTTGTAGTGCTGACAAGATCGGTAGTATTTATTTGACTTGTAATAAGTAACTCTTTTTATTTCTTGTCTTTGATTATACATAGTGAACTTATTATATAACTGCTAGAGTTTAGTCTACGCAACAAATTTTCTTTTTTTATTAACTATCATTATTCCCACGCAGAAGCTCTCAAGCTTATGTGGGATAATTTTGAAAACATGTTTGTAGTTTATTATAATAATTCTACATGTTTATAAATAAATAAAATAAAAAATCAAACTCCAGACTTATTGAGAACTATAAACGTATGTACAATACAGATTTTCAAGTACATTCTCTGGCCATATATATTAAATTCCAGTTTATTTTAAGCCATTTTCTGGCAAATTTTCGTATTTTCCCGTCTTGTATAAATAAAAGGTTTAGGAGAACGAGAGTCCTATGTAAATGTCCCATGTCCCATTTTGGTTGTTTCTTAATCCTCAATGCGGATACCCTATTTATTTTGCGTTTTGTCTCCAATAAAACAAGAATTTTGGTTGGATAATATTTGGAGGATTATAATACATACTTAGCCACATTACTTTCGTATTTCAGTATAAATATTGACTTATAAATGTTTACTTTTTTGTTATTATTAGTAAAAATATCTGTGCAGAGAAAATCGTATGCTAATAGAATAGTTATTAAATTTTTATTATATTATAGGGTGTCCGTTATTTACAAAGTTGATCATTTCTCTCATGACGCCCTCTAAATTTTTAGTTTATTGTCTAAAAAAATAACAGACCATTGTAAACCCTTAATATTCACAATAAACCTTGCCCCAAAGAGATTCATTTCCCAGTTAAATTACATAGGAATTTGCCACTTTTTGCAAATATTTGTTTTTCTCTCGATCTTGTTGTCTCGCAGCCATGACAATCACATATTCTTGTACAGAATTGATTTAATTTTCCAAAAATCATCATAATTTGGCCAAAAAGTTGAAAAATTTAGGAATTTACCGAGTGGTTAATTTTAACCGTGAATAACTTTTGAAGGAGTAAGTTTATCGAAAAATTGCAAGATACTTTTTTTGTAGAGCGTTTAATTCTGTATAAGAATAGGTGATTGTCATGGAGAAGATCGAGAGAACAAGATCGAGAGAAAAAAAATATATTTGCAAAAAGTGGCAAATTCCTATGTAATTTAAATGGGGAATGAATCGTCTTTGGGGCAAGGTTTATTGCGAATATTAAGAGTTTACAATAGTCTGTTATTTTTTTTAGATAATAAACTAAAAATTTAAAGGGTTTCGTGAGAGAAATGATGAACTTTGTAAATAACGGACACGCTATGTACGTCATAGATAGTTGAGTTAGCCATAACCAAACGGCAATGCAAGGCACCATTTAACGCCGACTAATTACCACAGCGGCTTTAAATTGCAATTAAAACTTAACGGACTTCGTCTTGGAAACCCTTTAAATACTCGAAACTCGTTTACAAACGCCCGAGGCCTGGAAAAGTTAATGAAAACTCCACCTCCCCGGAGTTTCCCTCTAGCGTAATTGATAGGAAATTGGTTAATTTTCTTTTCAGGCGATCATCTCTCTTCCATGTTCTTAATGATCTTTGGGTTGTGTTTTTTTTTGCTGCAACTTTTTCGTTTAAAACTGTTTTTTTCTCTCTTTCTGGATATAATGCAGCAAAAATTTCCACATTTCTGTAAAAAAGCTGTCTACAGGGTGTTAAGATTCCTCTCGTAAAAATAAGATTTATTTTTCATATCAACATAGGTCCGATTCGGTTTTGTTTCGTAGCTACAACATGATACAATTTTAATATTTTTTCGATTTATAACAATTTTCTTCCAAGCACTTTTAGCGTTTTTGAATGAAGTTTTGAGAGTAAAAGTTACTATAAATGCGACATATTTTAAAGCTAAGAAAGGGTTGGCATATTCACCAGTAACGTGTATGTGGGTTATCACTGGAATATTTTTTTGGAAAAAAGCATGTACGCCACTGACTTGTTATTCTTTTGTTAGCGAAATAGTGTAGCAGTTTAATGCCGATTAAAACTTCATATTTTGTCGATTTCTGACTTCTTGATGAGATAAATCCAATTTTATTAATTTGCCTTCCGTCTAATAGCAACTTTTAATAGATATTTACAATACAAGTGAGTTAACAGCATCATTACGATACGTGT